GCCGGGCCGGGGCGGGCGGCGGGGGAGGGGGTCGAGGAACCGCGGGGACCCCTCCACCCCGGCCTCGGCTGCGGCCCCCACGCCCACTCGCCCTTCGATCTCTCCGCTCCGACTCTTTGCCTGCGGGTTGCGCGCCCCGCGCCCTCCCGTCCTGGCGGGGTCCCGACTCTCTTTCCCAGGAGCCGAGAGCCTTCCTCTTCGCCGGGGTGGGGCTGTCCCGGGGGGAGGTGGACGGGGCCCGGCCTCCCGCCCCGCCACCCGGCGTCCCTCCGCACGAGTCCGTGGGAGGCCGGGGAAGGGGCGGGCGCCCGGCGCGCAGGAAGGGCTGCTCCCTTCCCTGCGGCTCCCACCAAAGGACACTTGCTCCGGGGAACCAGGAAGCAGGAACTCGCGGGCTCCATTCCCGGATCCGCCGCCAGTGCCCCCTCGCTTGCCCTCCCCGGCTTTAGCCCTTTCCGTTTTTCTCTCCTGCCCCTTGGGCATCTGTAAAACTGCCACTACGAGTAAACCACATGGGAGAAAGGGCACTCGGTTTGAAGTCCATGTGGCATGCCCTGAGACGCCTTTTGGGCTCAGTGATTCAATGAATATTCATCTAATATGTATGATGAATCCAGATACTGTGAAGACCAGGATCAGCCCTCAGCACCTGCCCTCAAAGAGCCCAGAGTTTAGCTGGGGAGGCCTCGGAGTATACTGCCATCGGCGAGAGTCTGGACTTCAGACACACATGCCCAGGAGTCTCTTGTTGGGGCAGGGGGTGCTGGAAACACGCTGGGCTCCTTGTTTGGAGATGCTCAGGACAAACGGGCTTAAAGCAGTGTGCTGGCAGACAGCGCCATCATCTACCTGGCCAGGAGACTGAAACCAAAGGACTTTTGGCTTTTTCCAAAAATCAAGTCCAAACTTTTCTGGGGCGTTATCACTTAGCCTGGTGTTGGGTGGTTGTCTAGATCTTATCTCCCTTGCCAAACAGAAACTTCCTTGAAGACAGAGTAATGTCTGATTTATCTTATCTTTCACACAGAACCAGCCTGGTGCCTGGGATAGGGAAGTGCATGATAAATGCTGCGTAAATGAAAAACAATTGCTACCGTGGAAGATATGGCACCCTATCGGTACCAAAGTTGTTTCCAAGAGAGGTATTCCAAAAGTCTTTCAAGCAATGACGCCATCACTGAGCTAAGCATCCACTCCTGCAAGGTGAAGGCGTTGAAGACGCAGCCCTCATTTGAATAGATGAATTGTGGTATTTTTATTAAATAATGAGTCATATCAAGGCTTGGTCACGCCTCATGCACATGAAAAGACCAAAACACAAGGCAGCGTATCAGCACCACGTGAAGTACACACTAAGCACCAACTATTTAATTCAGCAATCATAGGGGGCCGCAGTGGCTCACACTTGTCATCTTAGCACTTTGGGAGGCCGAGGCAGGTGGGTTGCTTGAGCCCAGGAGTTCGGGGCCAGCCTGGGCATCATGGTTTCCCGCACCTGTAGTCCCAGCTACTCAGGAGGCTGAGGTGGGAGGATAGTTTGAGCCCAGAAAGTTGAGGCTGCAATGAGCCGTGAATGCATCACCGCAAGCCAGCGGTGATGACAGAGCGAGACCCTGTCTCAAAGTAATTAATAGTAATTATATGAATTCAGCAATCATTTGAGTGTTTGTTGACTTTGACACCGCACTAAGGGAAGGGGTAGGTCCCTTTCCTCAAGTAGTTCCAGTCAATTATGCAGAGTTCAATGGGAGCGCAAGGGCAGGAACAGTGAAATCCAAGTTACAGTGCATTTGATCTCGCTTTTGAGGATAAATGAGGGTTTGCCAGACTGAGGCTGGAAACCCCATTTAAGACACGTGGAATAGCGCCTACAAAGGTGAGGCAGCCAGTCTGCTGGTGTGTTGAGCGAAGGTTTGTAAATTGGTGTGACTGGAGAATAGAGATGTGGATAAGAAGATGGAAGGTAGTGGATAACAGACTTTGAAGGTCATTGCATGCCATGCTGAAGATTTGGGCATCAAAAAAGACACAAATGTGACATAATCAGCACCACCATCAAGAAGGCCCTCTGGCAACAGTCTTGGGGTTGGACTGGAGACTCGGGGTGCCCTAAAACTCAAGCCGTGGTCCTGAGGTTGAGGAGGAGGGGAAGGAGCTAGGAAACGGTTCAGATCATTTGGCTGTGTAGTGAGAAAACAAAAATCACTAACTTTTAACAGCTGAACAATGGTTGGTGTCAGTAAGTGAGATAAGAATTCAGGGCTGCACGTGGTGGCTCACGCCTGTAATCTCAGCACTTTGGGAAGCTGAGGCAGATGGATCACGAGGTCAGGAGTTCGAGACCAGCCTGACCAACATGGAGAAACCCTGTCTCTACTAAAAATATAATATTAGCTGGGCATGGTGGCGCATGCCTGTAATCCCAGCTACTGGGGAGGCTGAGACAGGAAAATCACTTGAACCCGGGAGGCAAAGGTTGCGGTGAGCCGATATCACGCCATTGCACTGCAGCCTGGGCAAAAAGAATGAAAGTCTGTCTCAAAAAAAAAAAAGAATTCAAGCAAAAGGGGAGCGGGGTAAGGTCGGAGGGGGATCCAGCCAGGTTCAGGGGACAGAGAGGCAGGCAGGACAGAGTCCAGAGTGGAGACAGGGAAGCAACACCAGTGTCACGTTCAGCATAGACTGCTGAGAATGAACCTGGAGATCTTTATTCCTCCCACATCTCAGCTATCCAAGATATCAGTGATCCAAGCTGGAAAGGTGTATCTTCAGGATCTTGACTTTCTGGCCCATACCCTTACAGTCTCCTGGAGAGCTCTAGAGCTGTTGAGGAACATCTAGGTAAAGGAAAGTTAACAGATCTACAAATTCTGAAGAGCCAAAGGCAAGGTGATTTTACCCACACATCAGCCCTTCCCAGGGATGTTTACATTTCCTTTTTTTTTTTTTTTTTGAGACAGAGTCTCGCTCTTGTTCCAGCCCTGCTGGAGTCATGCGCAGATCTCAGCTCACCTGCAGCTCCGCCCTCCAGGTTTTATGCCATTCCTGCCTCCAGCCTCCCTGAAGTAGACTGGGACTCATAGGCGCTCGCTACACCTCGCCCTAGTTTTGATTTTAGTAAGACGAGGTTTCCAACCCGGGGTTATGCCAGTATGTCTTGACTCCTGAATTCGTGATCCGCCCTCTTCGGCGCTCCCAAAGGTGCTTGGGGATTAGAGGCTTTGAGCTCACCCGCAGCCCACGAGCCCCACCCGAGGTTTAGTATTTCTAAGGGACAGGACCCGTCTAATCACTCGACCCCCTCAGACATGAGTCTTTTGGTGGAAATTATTTCAAGCTGTCGGGATCCTCAAAAATGGATCCCTCCACTCAAGCTTGGAATGATGGAACTGTGTCAAGGAGGGGAGGGGTAAGGGGCCCAGGGCTTGGGTGTTTTCATGTAGGGTATCGTTGTTGCCCTATATCCAAAGCAAAGTTAAAAATCACATTAATTTCAGCAGTGGTCAGGGCTCAGTAATCTAAGTACTTTGGAGTCCAAGGTTGGAGGATCTCTTGAGCCCAACTGGATGAGACCAAGCCCTGAAGCAACTATAATCGATAACCCTACCCTACCAAAAAAAAAAAAAAAAAAATTAGTTGAACTAGTAGCACTACACCTATAGTTCCCAAGCTACTTGGCGATGCCAAGTGGGGGCTTGTTTGACTCAGAGAGGGTGGGTTGAGGCTGGCAGTGAGCCATGACCGCCACTGGGGGGCGGGCACTCCACCTGATGACGCACGACGACCTTCATCTCAAAATAAATAACGCAGACACATTCATAATGTACAGTGGACAAAGCATATTCTAGAAAAACTATATATACCGGGGGCTGGGTCATGGTGGACTTCCACACCTTAATGTCCAGCAACTTTGGGAGCGGCTGAGAACAGGCGATCACCTGATGGTCAGGAGTTTCGATACCGCCTGGCCCCAATAAAATGGGGGGTGAAAACTCCAATCCTAACTAAAATACAAAAAAATAGCCAGGCATGGTGGCGGGTGTCTGTAGTCCCCTAGCTACTTGGGGCTAGCAAGAATCAGCTTGAGCCAGGAGTAGTTGCAGTGGACCAAAATCGCACCATTGCACTCTCAGCCTGGGCCATCAAGAGTGAAACTCTATCCAAATAAATCATAAATACGACTGGGGGGTGCTGGTGGCTCACGCTCTGTAATCCCAGGCACTTGGAGGGGTACTGAGCAGCAGATCACCTGAGGTTGAAGAGTTCGGAGACCAGCCTTAACCAACGTGGAGAACCCCATCTCTACTAAAAATATTAAAAATTACTGTCCCATGGTCGCCGGCATGCCGTAACCCCCAGCAACTTCGGGGGGAGCTGAGCAGGAAGAAATTGCCTTGAACCCGGCGAGCAGAGGGTTGCGGTGAGGGCAGAGATTCACCATACAACTACTAGCCTGGGCAACAGAGTGAAACTCCATCCCAAAAAAAATAAATAAATAAATAAAACTAACTAT